ATGTCTTATGATCACGGTCTGTGCACTGAATATCCCACGGCGTAATTACTGGCAGCGCGAGCCAGTTACTATAAGTTACTATAAGTAACTGGCTCGCGCTGCCAGTAATTACGCGGCAGGATATTCAGTGCACAGACCGTGATCATAAGACATACCGAAAATAGAAAATAGAAAATAGACATTGCATGTGAACGAAGCCTTAGTGACATTTTGAAAGGTGAAGTATAATCTGGAATAAAACCCTTGCGGATTTGTAGCAAAAGACAAACAGGCAGTGAATAATGTGAAATCACTTCCCAGAAACATGTTGAAGAAATCAAATATACCATGAATCTTTCGTAGAGATATTTATGCAGTGTGAATAGTAATTAAGCAAATTGATAAATAAACAGAAGTGGCAAGTTAAATCTATAGATATTTTTGTCCCCATTACTGTACTTGTATATAAGTAGCTGTTCTTAATTTTGAAATATTATTTTTCTGTTTGACTAGACGCAGACCCCCAAGCTGTGGTGTGAAATTCTGGAGCTGGGTTATGTGGTTTGACAACTGGAAAAAGGGTATTTTCTACCTCATACTCTGTATACCATGTTTTATACAACCACAGGAGGTGTGGATGGCAATAATTTCAGGTAAGATGATATGACATTCACCTTTTAGATGGTTGTGCTTGGGAAGAAGCACAAAAGGTTTTTGATTAGGACACAATGTTATAGATGCAATTATTAGATGAAGTTGTCACCAAGAGAAGAACATTGAAAGCATGGGTTATTTTGTGCCAATTATTCCCCAGTTTTCAGTTTTCTTCCAAATGATTCTTGTAAGCACACAGGGTGTTAGGTTATTGCTATTCTGACTGCAAGCATAATGTAGTTTGAGTATATTTTGTTGGAGAAAGTTGAAAGAAAAATGTTTGCTGATTATTTCAAACCTTAAAACCTAGAAGACAGTTTTAGAATATTGAAATGCGGATAATTGACTTCAGAGTAGTCTTGTCATATATGCAGCCACATTCAGTTAAAATACGGAAATCTCACATAAAAAGTTATTTCTTACCAGTATGTTTTTTCTCATTTGACAATTGAAAACTGTCACCTGCACATCACATAGCAATCATGTTGGACTTTTTCTCCATTATATATTTGAATTATCATGCTATTTGTTTTAATGTTAAATCTATTTAATATTTTTTCTATAGGTGTGATGATGATTATATCAGCAATATTCTATTGTATAAAGTCCATAAAAATTCGACAAGACAATATCAATACTATTGAAGAAACATATGACAGGTAAGTGGAGAGTGTTTGAATGCTACAGTTGAGATTTTTGTTAGGTGTGACATGATTGTGGTCTATGCTATATAATGGCATGATCATGGCTGTTCCAGGAATGCTGTGTCAACTCTGGTTGTGTTTACATCCAGACTAAAATAGACTGAAAATGGTCTAACTTGCACCGCCAAACAACCAGATTACGTGAAGATTCACAAATTCAATGATACGGCAGACATGGGAAAAATTCTGAACGTATTGTTTTCTTAGGTACATGCTAAAAGCTATAGATACTGTGCACAGGAAATATTTTCCTGAGACAAAAATCAGTTCATGGTATTGGGACCATATAGATGTTTAATTGCTTGGCTATAAAAATTCATTAAAACAATTATAGCATTGTAAGTTGAAAAAAAAATATTTGAGAAAGTCTACTTATAGCTTATGCACACTTCAAATGGGTGGGTGTGAAATAAGTGCTGGCTCGACTTTACTTTTGCTTGGTATTCGGCCAAGAGCAGACAAGTTTTGCCATGACTGAAGAGAATTGAATCATATGGTGATGCTGTTGGACTATTAACTTTTTGTCTGGAACCTAATACAACCACCTGCACCAAACTGATGTTTTGATATATGACAAGTCTTTGCCATTTTAATTGTTTAACTGCTGTTGCATGATTTAGCCATCTTTATGTTGTCATGTAAGTTGTTGTTTGATATGTTATTATAACTAATTACACTGGACACTTTCGCGAGTCTTTGTTGTACTGTAGTAAGTATAGGGAAAAAGAAAAACTGCTGTTAATAAAAAAAGATAAGGACAATTTTAATTGTTAGAAATTAAAAGTTATAAAAGTATTATGACTTTTCAGTTGAACCCTCCCCTCCAAAAAAAAAAAATAAATAAATAAATAAATAAATAAAATAAAAATAATAATAATAAAAATTTAAAAAAAATGGAAAATTATGATCAATAAGACTAATTGGAACATTTCATCTGGACAAAAAATACCAGTAACTGTACACTTTAAAAGAATGATTGGGCCCAGCAATACAAAGTTATATTAAAGAATACAATTTTATTTTTCTTTAGGAGGCCGCGGCTAAGGTAGGTGATAGTGTTTTGCCACTGTGATGCTGGGTGCTTTTCTTAGTTGTTTTTGTGATGTTTACTGGTATCATTATCTGATTTTATTGCACATAGTGGGTGTTCTAACTTGTAATTTATAGCTTGGCAAATGCTTTTTACATCGCATAATACATGTAGCATTACTCCTGATGTGATCGTAGCTGGTAATTGGTTTGTTTGCATGATTGCTTTCATTGTTAAATTAGCGTGTACAGCTAATATGATTTCACTTCAACCTCATGTTTTATTTTGCAAAATTTGTAAAGTAGCTTCAACACAAAAAACAGTTTTTTTTTTTTAGGTCCAAGTGATTGCTGTTAGACCTTGTGTCACTATGTACATCTCTCTTCTTATCATTTTGTTCTAAAAATGTCGTAATTAGCATACAAGATTATTGCAAAACAAGCATTCATTTTGAAAGTAAAACATAAGATTCCTGTTTAGATAAAAAAGAACACAAATGTGGGACTTAAAGTATTTACCTATAATTTTGAAGATTGCATGTTGTTTCTCTGCTTGTGGTGATTTTTTTGAGGGGATATCTAAATTATTCATTCAGTTTTTTTATCTCTCTGTAATTACCTGTAGCATTTGAAGGTCGTAATTTGGCATGCTGGTAGAATTGAATGACATAAGTTCAGGATGAGTTGAAATATGGAAGAGTTATATGGAAGGTTACTGCATATATTTGTATTTTATTTACTGATATCTAAAGAGAAAATAGGGAATGTTAATGAATATTAATAAATCAATCTTGACAAAAACTATGAAAAAAAGTGCGTTGAAAGTGTCGACTTTGCATATCTTTTTATAATTTGACCTATTATTATATTGAAAATATTCTGTTGACTTTTACCTGCTAGCTCAAAAAAGACCAGGTGTATCTGCTGAATTTAAAAGAGTTACTTATTGTGATTAACATTACTTAAAAGGATGGAAGATTTAAAACAAAAATGTCTTGTATTAAGTACTATAAATTGATTTTAAAATTAAAGTCTTTAAAAGTTTCTTTTAAGTGTCCAAATCATTTACAGTTCTTATATCAATAGTTTAGTGAGTATTCCATTACTTTGGTGCATTTATTGCGAATGCCTATTCACCATATCATTACTTTGTTTTCTCCTTTAAAACAATATTGAAAAAATAAATGATTAAAAGTGAAATTCCTAATAATGCATCACTGCTGGTAGGGTTCAAGTAGTTCTGAAATGAATTGTGACTTTTTAGGCTTTGTTCACATGAAAAATCTATTTTCCAAAAATCTATTTTCTATTGGCGGTATCTTGTGAGTACGGTCTGCCCCCCGAATACCCCGCGGCGTAATTACTGGCAGCGCGAGCCAGTTACTTCCAAAGCTGTAATTCATTCTCAGCTGCGCTCGGAGGGAGTGATCACAAGATACCGCCAATAGAAAATAGATTTGTAGAAATTAGATTTTTCATGTGAACGGAGTCTTATTCTTTGTACCAGCTTAATAAATTATGCATAAAACTTAAGATAATGTTCTCTATCTAATAGGCAGCCAGTAAATTGCTTTAATGCTTTTAATAAATTATGATTAAGGTAATATATTGATCTTTTCAATGGGGGAAAATTGTGAATTTTACAGATACTGTATTTTTTTAATTCATAATTTCTTAAAATCAGAACATTCTTATTGACTTGTAGCAACAAAAAGTAGGCTACTCAGTCGTAGTATTTTATGCCTTAAAAGCACCACAATAAAATGCTACAGAGAAATATAAGTTTTGTGATAATAAACTTATGTATCTGAAAGTTTGATAGTTTTTGCGCATTGAAAAGATCAAGCCATTACCAGAGGTTTCAAAGGTACTTTACACAAGAAAGCACATGAAAACACAAAACTACCAGGGAAGAAAACTACCATGTTTCAACTCTTCACTTTTGGTAAATGTAATCCAATATTTTTAGCAATTATGCAAAAAATGAGGAATGTGTAGGTTAATGATTTCTTTTTGTTAGAAGAATGACTGCATTTTATTAAAAAATTGAAATGGCATTCAAGTATTTATTTATACGTCATGAAGCATTTTATTGCAAATTTTATAAGGGAAAGAGAAGAGAATGCAGAAGCACTTTATTGTTTTTTTTTTCTTACCTAATGCACTACTTTTAACCAGTGTAGCAGATGTTTGATGTTGAAAGTAAATGAATTGATGCATATTTAACTACCACAATGCTGCTGGTCCGGTGCTCGCTTTCTGCAGGCTCTTTGTTTGCATGTTTCACAGACCATGTTCAGATTATTAGGCTTAACATTTTCTATGCTGGTCCTTTTTACATTGCTTTGCATTTGGTTTGCAATCCAGTTATGGAAATAATGTATAAACATGATTTCATGTTTGCTCTCATACAGTAGTATGTGTTTCTCATATAATACATGATGCATTTATCAATAAGCAGTTTTTCATTAATTGCACTTGTTTGATATTCATGTTATACTCTTGTATCAACTTAATTGCAGAATAACACTTAGATCTGGAGTAGTGTTTGGTTAAACCCTATTTTAATTGCATGAAAATTTCTTACATCTCCGTGTGTCATATAAAGATTATATGCCTGTGTCCTCTCAAGTTTACTGTTTATTATTCATTTTTGTACATATTTTTGGGCTACGTTATATTGAAAATTTTTAGATAAACATTGATTTTTAATGGATTGTTTATTTTCTTTTAAGGCAGTTAAGGTGGCTGACTATTGCCTTTTTCATGGGGGAGAGGACTCTAAATGAAAAAAATCAAGCACTGTTTTGTGACAATAATTTTCCTGCAGCTGTAGCACTAGCACTACCCATCATCAGAAAAATACTGAATCTTTCAGTTCTGAATTACGTGGGTTTTGAAATATTCAGGTCTATGATGCTAAGAAATTGCAGGCATCGATTGTAATAGCTTCAGGCTAACTAAGTGAAAATTTTCATCAGGAAACTTTGCATGAACTAAATATATACACACAATAATTAACTGATGAGCCTCTTCAGTTCGATGTCCATTATTGCTTTTTCAGATTTGAGGAGCTGGATGATGACATATTTGATGAACAGTTTGATGACAATGACCCCACTGGGAGCATGCTGCCCATAGACCAAGACGATACAGTGGCAGAACAGGAAGAAATCTTGGATGTTTGATAGACCAACAAGAGGCAATAATGATACAAATGATAGTTGTACTGTGTACTGTTTAGGGGGGGGGTCACTTGTAGAAATGAAAGAGGTTTTGGTTTGGTGTTTTGATTTGGCATCAGTGGGGGGGGGGGGTGGGGGAAACAGCTGGGTGATGAAGGCAAAAAGAAGGAGGAATTATGGGTTTTTCGAAAAAAGATCTCGACGGTAGACAATACGAGCANTAGTTTTAAAAGTAAAACACAAGATTCTTGTTTAGATTAAAAAAGAGCACAAATGTGGGACTTTAAGTATTTACCTATAATTTTGAAGATTGCGTGTTGTTTCTCTGCTTGTGGTGATTTTTTTGAGGGGATATCTAAATTATTCATTCAGTTTTTTTATCTCTCTGTAATTACCTGTAGCATTTGAAGGTTGTAATTTGGCATGCTGGTAGAATTGAATGACATAAGTTTAGGATGAGTTGAAATATGAAAGAGTTATATGGAAGGTTACTGCATATATTTGTATTTTATTTACTGATATCCAAAGAGAGAATAGGGAATGTTAATGACTGTTAATAAATTAATCTTGACAAACTGAAAAAAAGTGTGTTGAAAGTGTCGACTTTGCATATCTTTTTATAATTTGGCCTATTATTATATTGAAAATATTCTGTTGACTTTTACCTGCTAGCTCAAAAAAGACCAGGTGTATCTGCTAAATTTAAAAGAGTTACTTATTGTGATTAACATTACTTCAAAGGATGGAAGATTTAAAACAAAAATGTATTGTATTAATTACTATAAATTGATTTAAAAATTATAGTCTTTAAAAGTTTCTCTAAAGTGTCCAAATCATTTGCAGTTCTTATATCAATAGTTTAGTGAGTATTCCATTACTTTGGTGCATTTATTGTGAATGCCTGTTCACCGTATCATTACTTTGTTTTCTCCTTTAAAACAATGTTAAAAGTGAAATTCCTAATGATGCATCACTGCTGGTGGGGTTCAAGAAGTTCTGAAATGAATTGTGACTTTTTCTCTATACCAGCTTAATAAATTATGCATAAAACTTAAGATAATGTTCTCTATCTAATAGGCAGCCAGTAAATTGCTTTAATGCTTTTAATAAATTATGATCAAGGTAATATCTTGATCTTTTCAATGGGGGAAAATTGTGAATTTTACAGATACTGTATTTTTTTAATTCATAATTTCTTAAAATCAGAACATTCCTATTGACTTGTAGCAACAAAAAGTAGGCTACTCAGTCGTTGTATTCTATGGCTTAAAAGCACCACAATAAAATGCTACAGAGAAATATAAGTTTTGTGATTATAAACTTATGTATCTGAAAGTTTGATAATTTTTGCGCATTGAAAAGATCAAGCCATTACCAGAGGTTTCAAAGGTACTTTACACAAGAAAGCACATGAAAACACAAAACTACCAGGGAAGAAAACTACCATGTTTCAACTCTTCACTCTTGGTAAATGTAATCCAATATTTTTAGCAATTATGCAAAAAATGAGGAATGTGTAGGTTAATGATTGCTTTTTGTTAGAAGAATGACTGCATTTTATTAAAAAATTGAAATGGCATTCAAGTATTTATTTATACGTCATGAAGCATTTTATTGCAAATTTTATAAAGGAATGAGAACAGAATGCAGAAGCACTTTATTGTGTTTTTTTTTCTTACCTAATGCACTACTTTTAACCAGTGTAGCAGATGTTTGATGTTGAAAGTAAATGAATCGATGCATATTTAACTACCACAATGCTGCTGGTCCGGTGCTCGCTTTCTGCAGGCGCTTTGTTTGCATGTTTCACAGACCATGTTCAGATTATTAGGCTTAACATTTTCTATGCTGGTCCTTTTTAGATTGCTTTGAATTTGGTTTGCAATCCAGTTATGGAAATAATGTATATAAGCATGATTTCATGTTTGCTCTCATACAGTAGTATGTGTTTCTCAAATAATACATGATGCATTTATCAATAAGCAGTTTTTCATTAATTGCACTTGTTTGATATTCATGTTATAGTCTTGTATCAACTTAATTGCAGAATAACACTTAGATCTGGAGTAGTGTTTGGTTAAACCCTATTTCAATTGCATGAAAATTTCTTACATCTCTGTGTGTCGTATAAAGATTACATGCCTGCGTCCTCTCAAGTTTACTGTTTATTATTCATTCTTGTACATATTTTTGGGCTACGTTATATTGAAAATTTTTAGATAAACATTGATTTTTAATGGATTGTTTATTTTCTTTTAAGGCAGTTAAGGTGGCTGACTCTTGACTTTTTCATGGGGGGAGAGGACTCTTAAATGAAAAAAGTCGAGCACTGTTTTGTGAAAATAATTTTCCTGCAGCTGTAGCACTAGCACTACCCGTCATCAGAAAAATACTGAATCTTTCAGTTCTGAATTACGTGGGTTTTGAAATATTCAGGTCTATGATGCTAAGAAATTGCAGGCATCGATTGTAATAGCTTCAAGCTAACTAAGTGAAAATTTTCATCAGGAAACTTTGCATGAACTAAATATATACACACAATAATTAACTGATGAGCCTCTTCAGTTCGGTGTCCATTATTGCTTTTTCAGATTTGAGGAGCTGGATGATGACATATTTGATGAACAGTTTGATGACAATGACCCCACTGGGAGCATGCTGCCCATAGACCAAGACGATACAGTGGCAGAACAGGAAGAAATCTTGGATGTTTGATAGACCAACAAGAGGCAATAATGATACAAATGATAGTTGTACTGTGTACTTTTTAGGGGGGGGCACTTGTGGAAATGAAAGAGGTTTTGGTTTGGTGTTTTGATTTGGCTTCTGTGGGGGGAAACAGCTGTGATAAGGCAAAAAGAAGAGGAATTATGAGTTTTTCGAAAAAAAAAGGATCTCACGGTAGACAATACAGCACAATGGAACGTTGTTAAAACAAACTTGTGAGGACTAACAAGAAATTGAACAGTGTTTTTAAAGGTCAAAACAATGTCAGGGGCAAGAATAACTTGATGTTTTGCGTGCAGTATCTCCCTTGCTTCAAGCAGCAAAGTCATCATTTTTAAAGTCCTTAAAATCCTTCCAGTCATTTACTTCAGCTGAAGACCTTGGAACATCTCACAATCTCTTGATTTCTTTGAACTTCATTGGTCTTTAGGAAAAAAGTGCCATCAAAGAGGAAAAACTTGATGATGGATATACAGTATAGCTGCCATTATCATTTTTTGAAAAAATCTTGGGTGAGACCAGATCTAGGATTTGACACCAAAGGCAACTGAGTGAGTCAACTCGAAGGTCAAAGTTGCCACGTCACAGTGTCATTTAAATATGCTCAATCCTCTTATTATGAAGTGATAGTGATAACATTATGTTAAATTTCTGACAGTTTTTTTTTTTTGTCATTTGCAAGTAAATGTCAATATCTATAACAGAAGTAGGTACACATTAGGGTATTGATGTGGCAAATTGTTAAGCGTGGCACATTATTGTGATGGTGACCTTCACCTCTTGTTTCAGCAGAGGTCAAAGTCATCTTTTATAACCGTTCTTATTTTTGTTATAATATTTTACAACTTTTGAGAAAGGAAAATATTGGTACATTAAGTTTCCATAGATGTTTTGACTCATCTATTGTTAATATGGAGAATCTTTTAAGATGGTGCCATCTGTTGAGTAAGAAATACTGTCCCATATAGATGTGTTATGTTTTTTTTTATATTATCATATGTTACAATATTTATAGTTAAGTTATAGGGGACAAAATCTCATTGAAAAAGTACAAAACACAACTTGTGCTTCAAATATATGAAAGTTTATACTCTAGTAGGGCAGTGTTGGCTGTTAGCTATTCTGCCATTTATTTTTGCACTAACCATCACATTCATGTAGTCTGTTTACAGTGTCACCATGAGCTTCAAACCCTGTACATTTGGTCTGTAACAACAGCACTGACAACTATCACCCCATTTCCATAGATTAGATCGACCTACTTTAGATCGACCTAACTCCCTGGGGGTTCACACTATCAGCCAGGCGGACACGAAAGTTAAGTACCCCCTTACAGCTTGTAGTAGGCGGGACGGACATTTAAGTTGGATTATCTGAAAGTAATCTAGTGAGACTCCCCGCGGGGATAGATCGATCTAAAATCTATGGGAATAGAGCCTATTTCATCTGTAACCTGCACAACTTCAGGCTTGGCCACAGTCATTCGGATATGAGATATCATATGGACCATATACTATATTTTTTTGAGTTAAAGGCATATCACAGCTGAAAAATGTACATAATTAATTTTTTTTTTGTTATTTATTTATTTATTGGTTGGACTAATTGTATGTGCAATTTGGTTTCTGCATAGCTGCTTGTAAATTTTTGTGGAGCGAGAGAGAGAGAGAGAGAGAGAGAGAGAGAGAGAGAGAGAGAGGAGTAAATGAAGCATCAGTTTCTGGTAAGTAGATGAGACCAGTGTTGCCTTATTCGTGGATTTCTCTTTTATTTCCCAGCCACTCCTCCAATTTAAGTTTTTTATCTTACTTGTGTCTATTTCCTGTTACTCCAGAAAGTGGAAGGCAATGTTTCTATTTCACTTCAATCTTACAAGGATTACTCATTGTCCTCAAATACCGGTCAGGATTTCAAATGGGAATGATCTGATTAACTATTTGTATTTATTTATTTATTTATTTATTTTTATCATTTTGGCCATGTTGACCACAAATGTCAAGCATTATGATGTGCCCTCCTTAGCTGCTACAAGTTTCCTCTATGTTGTGACTGACTGTGAAAAACATCTTTTGTGTTTTTTTATTGTCTTCTGTAGCCATCAGAAATGCCATTTACAATCCACACATTCTGCAGCCATTCATTATTTGTAATTCAACAGGCAAAACAAAAAGTTAAATTAGTTTTGTAGCATTGACATGATCATTAAGATCATCTTTAGTTCCCCTTCTGCTTTTGTTAATTTATTAATTTTTCACCCATTTAGCATGCAAAAGTAAAATTTCGATGTAACTAGTTTGATTGATGTGGAACTCTGTAAACCATGAGTGACAGTTGTGGAGGCTACTGTCCATTGAATGAGGCCTTAA